CTCAATTTAATGAAAAGCATAAAAATTGCACTTCAAATAAATCATACTTACTTTTGCATAAAACGGGTTTAGTCCCGCCACCACTTCAAAAACAAGTCAAAACATGCTTTTTAAAACTGTACAGGCATTACCATAAATTTACTTACCTCACTCCCACAGAACAGAAGGCTAACCCAAGTGCTACAGAGGCAAAACGATCAAAACCTAATCACAATATTCCAAGAATTAATATCACACTACCATAAATTCAAATTGAAATCATCATCAACACTACCCCTAATCACAATACTATTTCTATCAATCTCCCCATAACCGGACATCTCCAAATTTATTCTTAAATCACAAACTAATCATTTAATCCCAGTTAATTATTGACCCTCGATGTGTGAACAGTGCCTATGAACAATACCCGCGAACAGTGCTCACGACGTGAACAGTACTGCCAACTTCCAAAAATTGGCCAAAACACTAGCTAATTTACGGGATTTTCTCTATAAAATTCACAGCAGCCAAATTAAGCTAATTCTACATAAATCAAGCACAAAAACACATTTAAAAGGGCTGCCAAATTCATCCCATATTCCAGCAGATTCGGACAACACAGAGCATCAACTAATAGACAAAACCCAGCAATTAAATGGATAATTCTAAGCTTGGAAAAGCCGACAACTTACCAGAATTCCAGCCAGAAGAACCCGAGCTTGGCTGGTGAGGAGCCGACGAGATCCAGGGGGGGAAAACTCACGGCAAACTCCAAAAATTCAAGAACCAACAACAAAATTAGAGTAACCCAAGCCAAATGAAGAGGGAAAGGATGAATTCAAGGCTGCTTCTTACCAGAAAAAGCCGAAGGATTCAAACCCAGCAGAACCCGATGGACAAGGGAGAAGAACAGAGCAGAACCGAGATTTTCTGGGTTGAGAGGGAAGATTCTAAGCCCCAAATCTTGTGATTGAGCAAGAAAGAAAGAGAAAATCCCAAGCTTGGTCACCAATTTTCTCAAAAATGAGTCGGTGGCTAGAGGGGCTTGGGGGGGGCTGTCGGGAGGAAGAGTCGGGAAGAAGAAGAAGATGAGGACGAGCAAAACACGTGGCTGAGGAGAGAAATATCAGCCTTGATCCTTATCCTAATTTCCTTTCTTTTTAGTCCCCCAACTTTTTAAAATTTTACGATTAAGCCCCGAAATAAAATTTTCCCTCAAATAAGTCCCTTATTTAATGCTAAAATATCACCAATTTTTGGGGTATTACATCCACCCCTCCTAAAAAGGAGTTTTGTCCCCAAAACTCAAATTGGGGATCATTTCAATTGGTGAATGGTTTCACACAACCCAAGACAAAACGAATGCCTTACCGACTTTCTATGGTCAGAACATGACCTACTACGCTTCCGCTGCGCCACTCTAATATTAAACCACAACACTAACAATTCTCAATCTCCACCCTCCCCAATGACCATTTGGGAAGCAAGAGATAACTTCACGCCTCAACACAAATAACTAAACTCGAAAGTTATCGGCGTGATTATGTGGTGCCCTTGACTCAAATCAAGACCTGGCACCCATCAAACACATCATGGCAAAGAGTCTAATGATGAGTCCCACTAAAAGATGGAACCCTATCCGTGACAGATAAACATCACTCGGATATACAGAATCATGAACGGATGAATGCATGCATATGCACGTATGAATGAATGCCTTTATGCATGCATGTATGAATGCTCATGTGTGCATGCATGAATGTCCATGTATATGCTCATGTATGTCCATGTTTGCATTCATGTATGAATGCCCAGATGAATACTCAAACAAACAGACCTAACGTGGAAGGCCTTATACATCCTGCCACAACCAAAACCAAGCACACTATCACAAGGGACCAAGTTCCAAACAAGGTCCTAAAAGCATAGTGAGCAAGATTAATTTCAGAACTTCTCACTATCAACAGATAACAGGAACTAACTGAATCACTATCACATCAAAGTGAATCAGAAAATTCAAGCAACACAAATCAGAACCGTCCCTTGTATAATCCCATCACTCATCTTACCACGGTTCTAAAATCCATTGGCTAGCCAAATCCAAATCAAATCCTAGGTATTTACTTAAATCTAGGCTCTCACATCACAAAATCTTAATCAAACCTAAGCTCTGATACCACTAAATCTGTCACATCCCAAAACCCAAATCCGAGGTGCGACAAACTCCGTACACTCGTAAGATAGGTCCCACAAGTGCACAAGGCTCGAAACTTATCATATCACACTCTGATACCATCAAATCTGAAGATCAAATCTTTAAAATTTCCTCTGATATCATAAAATCTCCAAATACACTCTAGTTTACAAGATCATGATTTATTTCTAAATCTATGTTCAATTTTACAAAATGACTAGCCTTCTAACTCGTCACTTCCCGTGGTTTCCCCGTCCTCGGTTTCACTTCCTGAAATGGTGGACAAGGAAAACTATGAGATAACTCAATAAGTAAATATGGATAGCCCTTGGGTAAAACTTTTAGCATGCCTGATAACCAGTTTAACATAACAAATCACTCAATGACAAAATCAGATTCAATTCACTTGCAAAGCATTTAATGACAAACCGTCAATGTAAAATCAGATTCAGTTCAATAACAAAACGTTTCATGACAAACCGTTAATTAAACTCATAGCATGCCAACAAGTGTA